TTGAGCCTGCCCAATCACAATGAGATCAAAGACCTTTGCAAGTTCTTCAGTCCCACAATTAAAAAATAAATCATTTAAAAAACCTCCTCTTCCACTAACCCAGGGCTGTCAAATTTATGGCCCGTGGGCCAGGTGCGTCACACGCTGGCCACACTCAGTTTAGTGAAGGGGGGGAAAAGTCATGATACGTCATGTGACACCACCATGACGATGCAAGTTTGACACCCCTGCTCTTTTCTTTTATACATAATTTACGATGAGGTGGAATTTGAAATCATTTTAAATAAACAAGGCTGACTCTGGTTTGCATCCTTTGATTCTTATAGGACAAGCTACTCCCAAATCTTCAAATCCAATTAACTTCAAGCTGCTTTGGGAAGAGTTTTTGTTTTGACTCAGGCATAACTTAAATGACCAAGACTGCCTGTTGTTTGCCCACCGGTCTCTGTTTTGGAAACTATATACAGTTGATCCCAGCTAAAACTGCTGACATGCAAGTCTTTGATCACAAGAATATTAAAGAAACCTGATACTTAATGTTGACTAGTTGTTTATTAACATGTGAAATTAAAACATTTGTCAAAATCTCATAAAGTTGCTTCAGACTTAACCCAGAGCAGGGAGAAAAGAGGTGGGGGCTCCAGTGGTGCCCGTGGGATGGGGCAAAGGGGACAGAAGCAACATAGAACCGGCATGTAACATAGCACTGCATGTCACTCCCATTTTGCAACATCATATGTAGAACCCAAAAGGCAGAGTTTGCAACTGGATGCCCTTTGGGCTCCATAATCATATACATTTGATGAGTAAATGATTAGCAGGTTTGTAGAAGTAGATGTGCTTTATGTTGAGAAGTTTCCTTGTGCTCAAAGGATGAGGCAGCAATGCAGTTTTCCCTTATGAGGTTCACGTTGTCTCCTCTGATGGTTCTAGTAGGCAAAAGAGGTGCCTGCAGACTTGTGATATGTACCTTAGTCATAAACATTAGTTTTATGAACAGGAACTTTTTAGCAATGTAAGATATATCTATGTGGCATCATTGACTTTAAGAAGCAGGAAGATTATGTTGCTTCATAGCAACCTTTTGGAAGGTCTGGATTTGCCCAGTGATCAGCGACTTCCCCAAATTCATGCTGTTCATTCTACCCTGCTCCTACAGTTGCCAAGATTGACATAATGTATGTGATGGGACTTTTTGACCTTGAGTCCCTGTGGAATCCTGATCATGATCTAAGTCAGTGTTTCTCAACCTTGGCAACTTGAAGATGTCCGGCGAATGCTGGCTGGGGAATTCTGGGAGTTGAAGTCCGGACATCTTCAAGTTGCCAAGGTTGAGAAACACTGATCTAAGTAACTTTATTTTCATTATACTGATACATTTTTTAGGCCATGATTGACTGAAATTAGGTGATGGTGTTAACTTTGTTTCATTAAGAAACAAAACATTTGCGGTTTCTTCTAGGATGTGTCTTCTCTGAAGAAAGTCTTGTAGTGGTCAGTGGTGGCTACTGCCAGGAAAATATGCATTGGGGTGTGCCTTTAAATTTTTCATGTTTTTTTTTTACCTGACAACTCAGCTGTAGCTTGTTATGTGGACATTCTTAAATCTGAGTTTGTGATCATGTGTCTTCAGCCTGGTTAAAACAATATTGCATTTGGTGGTCATAGTGTTAAGTTTCTCAAATACCAGATGCATTTTCCTATATTAGGAAACAGTTGCAGACAAATATCTTTCATCATTGCCCATAGTTTCAAGAATAGATGTATTGCTGTAATATTTGGAGGAAAGGTAAGATGAAAAGCTAAGAAGATTTTATGCTGCAACAGCCTATGAAATCTCAAAATGAAAGTGCATTATCATTGTCCATATAACAGCAGGGGGGGAGGGGGACCTATGGGTCCTTTCAGCAACTTGAGTTGTTATCTTTAAGAAACAAGCAAGAAGATCATAAAGAGGATAGATAATTCAAACCTGGAAGCTAACAGTCATCAGTTGGTCTTTACTGTTATTGTTAAAGGGGCAGAATATTCAATCAAGATATTCTACTCACAAGATTTAAAAGTTGTCTTTTTCAGTTCACTGGGCATAATCTCATAGTTGTCTTGGAAGCTGTATCCATATATTGTGCTAAATCATGGCTTCAGCCATGGCAACTATCAGTATAGTGAAAACAATACTAAATTGCATTTATTTATTTATTATGCTGGAGGTGTCTGTGTGTGTGTATATATATGTATATACAACATTATATATATTTGTGTGTGTGTGTGTGTTTATATTTGTGCTGATAAATAAATAAAGGCAAATAAATAAAAACACAAATATAACAAAGGCAACAGTAAAAATATTGGGTTTCTGTCGTGATGGACTCTTGTGACGAGCCGATTGACAGATGATGGAAGCAGTTAGCTTCCTCCCATAATTGGGGCTTACCAGGGGTTGTGACACTAAATGTATGTATGTATGTATGTATGTATGTATGTATGTATGTATGTTGCAATTGTGCCAATCAGCACAATTGCAACACAAATGTAACAAGGCAACATAAAAAAATGACTTTCTGCCTGGCTGGCTCCCAGAGTGAGCTGATAGACAGAAAAAGGGAAGCAGTATGCTCCTTCCCATATTTGGGCATACCAGGGTTTGTGACACCATACATACATACATACATACATACATACATACATACATACATACAATGATTGAATTCTGTTCATTTTTTTCCAATTTTAAGAAACTTCCTGGACAATCTCTCCCCACTATTTTTGGCAAGGTTTTTCAGAAGTGGTTTGTCCTTCCTAGAACAGAAAGAAAGAAAGGTCACTCAGATTTGTGCCTAAGGCAGGGCTAGAATTCATGGTCTCCCAGTTTCTAGCATAATGCCTTAACCACCACATCAAACAGGCTCTGTGTGTTTTTGTGTATCTCTGTGTGTGCATAGGTGTGCATAGACAACATGGTATCTCAGTCTACAGTAGGACCATCTTGTATATCATGAAGAGATTTAAACTTTCCCCTGGGGTTGAATAATTTCCAAAATCTTCATTCATCCAGGAAATAAAATCGACTCTTGGTATCAATAATGAGAACCAATACATCATTGTTACATGGCACAAAATTATTCCAGTTTGTTAAATGGGATTTGTTTCTCTTTGTGTAGAGAGCATTTTTGGCAGTGTGGTGGCTCGATGGTGAAGATGATAGGCTTGTCGATGGTGAAGATGATAGGCTTGTCGGCTGGAAAGCAGGCAGTCCAGGTTTGAGGCCTGACCGCCACGTGACAGGATGAGCTCCTGTCATTGCCCCAGCTGCTGCCAACCTAGTAATTTGAAAGCATGCAAATGCATGTTGATAAATAAGTACTACTTTGGTGGCTAGGTAACAGCACTTCATGACATTATGCTGGCCACATGACCATGGAAATGTCTTTGGACAGCTCTGCCTCAATGGCCTGGAAATGTTGCCCTTATAGTTGGCAACGACTAGTGGAGTAAAATCCACAGGGACTACTGTACCTTTTTTTAATAGAGCATTTTGGTTTTGCCATTATAAGAACTCCTACTATAAAGGGCTTCACTGAAGTCAGTGAAAGTTGAGAAAGTTTTGTTCATTTGAATTGAAGGAATCTGGGGAAACATGCATACATAACTCACACTGAAGTACTAAGTCATTAAAGAGCAACAAAAGAAGCACTGTAAAGCTTTTTAAATGAAAAATGCTGCAAAATAAATAGAAAGCCAAGAGCTGTTATGCAAAGGAAAAATGTGTTTTTGTCTTCGTGGCATTTCAGAAAACTTTTAAGTGAACCAACTTCATTTGGTTTCATATTTTGCTATGCAGATGGCTGATACCTAGAAACCAAACCAGACGGACGCACATAATCACTGTTATGCAAGCTTATTTCTTGAATGCAACTACTTTACATGGCATTTCACTAAGTAGCCTGCTACCCTACTTGTTGTGATTATAGGATGTGTGATTCATTGTGGTAACCATGGAAACTCAGAGGAAACTTGCTATATTTGCTAGAATGAACTAACATAGAATACATTCTATTCCAACAAATTCAAATCTGTTTCTTCCTTTTCAAGTGAAAATAATGCAAATACATAAAAACTTTATTTGGAGACTTAATCCAATCAAATATTGGAATTAAATCACATCTCCAAACTGAAATCAGAAAATTCAATTGTTGAATGTTATCAGATGCCTATGAAACAGTGGAAAAGTGAATTAATTTTCTATTGGATCATTCAAAGATCAGAGTCAATCTATATATCCCTAGAAAATAATAGTGACACAAGAAATATATTTTGATTTCCCAGCTCATGCTCTCACGAAATAAAAACAATTGCTTTAAGGAGAGGCCGCCTTTGTAAGCTGAAGAAAAAATGGGCACCCTGCTTCTAGCATAATAGCAATTATGGAACAAGATATTTCTCCTAATTCCTATCTTGGTCAAGATTCACAATTGAAATCTCTGTTGACACATGCCTGATATGGTTTGAATCATTGGCATATGCTTCCTGCCCTTTGAACCAGCAGGGCAATCCATTTGTTCTGCATCCTTTTATATTCTATATGATTTGCTTTATTCATATTTTATGTTGCCGCATTAGCCAATATTAAGAACCTTTATTTCTGCCTGAAGATAAGTAGTCATAAGATCCCAAGCATCATGGAATTTAACCCGAACTTCTGAAGAAAAGAAGATGGAATGGAGGGATGTGGGAGACATATCCCCATACTGTATCTACCCTTAGGGGCTTAGTCAAAATGAATAGTCCAGTTTATTCATGGTTAGAAGAATGGCATTTAAATTTTAAATGACCGTGGCATTAAAGACTGAAATCAGTAATGCAGAAGATTGTTATGTGCATTGCTTTGGTTATTCTCTGGCTCTGAACCATCTTGGCAATGTGAAGGAATGCCCTTTTGGATGCCCTTTCTTCATCTTTGAAAGATACCAAGTTCATTAAACGCCTCCCTTTTCTTTCAGATGCAGTTTCAACATCTGCCTACGCATCTCCAGCAAGAAGTTTAGGAGATCCAGGAATCACACCCTTGTCTCCTTCCCACATTGCGGTAAGATTTATCACCTAAACAGGTGGTTCCACCACAAATGCGCGAACGACAAAAGCGCGCCTGACTAAACTGCGGTGACAAAACCGCGCCGACAAAACCGTGCCGACGAATGAGTGCTGAAGCACGTCGACAACAGTGCACTGACAGAAGCACGCTGTAACCCTAAACCTAACCCTAAACCTAACCCTAAACCTAACCTTAACTTAAATCGCGCTTCTGTTGGCATGCTTTTGTCGGCGCGCTGTTGTCAGCGCGCTTTTGACATCGCGGTTTTAGTGCCGCGGTTTTGTCGGCACGCGTTTGTCATTCGCGCGTTTGTCGGGTCACGAAACAGGTAGTCCCTGACTTGCAACAATTCATTTAGTGACTGTTCAAAGTTGCAGTGGCACAGAAAAATGTGACTTATGACCATTGTTCACGCTTAAGGACCCATTGTGGCATCCTCATGGTCAGGTGATGAAAATTCAGATGGCTGGCTGACTCGTATTTATGACAGTCGCAGTGTCTTGGAGTCATGTGATCACCGTCTTCACCTTTCTGGCAAGCAATGTCAATGGGGAAGCCAGATTAACTAACAAACATGT